ATGATATGAAAAGGTGTCCGAATGATGTGTTTCACACATACGTTCGACTCTCTTTCCAGGCTCCGACGAAGGCGATTTTGCCGAAACGTCAGCAAATAAATACTGTATCAATCTCGGAGGCTACAACAAAAACAAAAGTCAAATACCACTAAAACTATGCCGAGATTAATGGAAAGTCGGTCATGGATTATACTGAAATTTCAATCATTAAATATAAGTAGTTCTAATATTTCGCAGGAACATGTGTTCGTGATCGCCAAAAACTGTACTTTCAGAAACTGTCAACGCTTCTCCGAACCGTCAAATTTCGCTTTTTATGAAATGAAAAACTGAACCATTGAAGTATTGGGTCGGAGCATAATATCGTAGCGCTCGCATTCGGCAAAAACGTTTAAAGCAAAACCCAAAAGCAAAGCCAAGCATAAAACTGATCAGTGATGTTCTTCTCGTCATTATTTACGACTTTGGTTCCATTTCGCAAGAAATTACCGGGTTTAGAAATCAAAAATGCAATGGTTTTCTTTTTTCGTTTGTTTTCTTCACCCGTTATCGGACATTTGTGTTGATTAGAGGTTGATGTATTGTTGTGCATTAGTTACCGATAATAAACAATAAACAAAAAGGGTAGTGAGCCCGTTTTTAGAATCCTCATTATTCTCAATTTGTACGACGTGAATATGATTTGAAATTAAGGGTCGACTGGAGTAAGGTTCGATGATGACGATGGATTCCGAAAAACTCCTATTTTGGCAGCTTTTTTCTCTATATAGATTTTCGCCCACCTTGATTCTCCAACTTCTAAGCGCCATATCTGAGTACACTTACAGTATAGAAGAAAATGCCAAACATGGTATTGTAGAGCAGAAGAAGTACTTTCAAATGATATATGTGATTTCCTGGGTAATACTTGTATTCACTGAATTTGTAGCTCGAAAAGAAAAACGCTACGATATTATGCTCCAACCCAATAACGAACTTTTAAAACTACATCAAGTTGTTTTCTTCTCGAAAAGTAGTTGATTTGTCGCAATATTCATTCTTCAAAAAATAGTCCCGTTGTTCCGTTTTTGGGGGGTTTGTGGTCCGATTTTTGAGAACGCGCGGCGAGTTTTCGACATTCAAACGTTCATAACTTTCTTCATAATCAACTTTTTGCCTTCAGAAATATTCCCGTTGTTCCG